ACCTCACCTCACCTCACCTCACCTCACCTCACCTCACCTCACCTCACCTCACCTCACCTCACCTCACCTCACCTCACCTCACCTCACCTCACCTCACCTCACCTGCATAAGCATAGTATGCATTAGCGTAGTTAAGTTGATAAATCGTTTGGGATGATTGGGTAGCCTAGTGGCTAAAGCGTTCGCGCGTCACGCCGAAGACCCGGGTTAGATTCTCAATATGGGTACAATTCCTGAATTATTGTTAAAAGCAATTCACGAGGCAAGAGAGTTAACTGGCTTTAAAAGTCCAGTTTCCACCCTTGCCGAACTAGGCTGGAATTAACGGGCTCTATCGTAGCGCCACCAGTGGCTATTACGAATTATGTCCCTTCTGAGCCTCTCCTTTAGACCAATCAGATTCCACCTCTCGTATCACATGCATTTGCTTGAAACAAAACAGTGGCGCCCAGTCAAGACGATCTGATCGATAATTAAAGTCTTTGTTGTGATAAAAAGGCTCTTACATCGCGCAATGCGTGAACACCTTGATTAAAAACATGAAATGATATGGAAAGTATCTGTTGACAACTAGTTGGCGGTGCACATGCTTTGCAAATCCTGCCATCGACCGAAATCTGCAGAACAGTTTACGAACCGGATTTCGATTTCGATGCACGATTTTGATTGGACTATGCATAGACTCGTTAGTCCAGCCAAAATGTAACTCCATTATACGAGCCTAGTTCGGCAAGGGTGAAAACTGGACTTTTTTAGTCAGTTAACTCCCTTGCCTTGGGGAGATGCGTAAAAAACAAATCACTCATTCACCATATGTCGTAGACATTGAGGAAAATAAAAACATAACAAGGCATTCCACACAAACCACCTTTGGCACATGGGCAAAGAGTATGGATCAAAAGGTGCCTGGTACGAGTTAATGAGCTACCCATCATTATGTACATCTTGCAATAAATAACTGAATAAATAATCTGTTTAAAGGATCTATCTAACTACCATTGTTGAAGCACACCTTGAAGAGCAGTAACAGTTACCGACCAAAATGATCTATCTAACTATCCATGTTGAACTACACCTTGTAGAACAGTAACTGTTACCGTCCATAAGGATATATCTAACTATCCATGTTGAAGCATACCTTGTAGAACTGTAACTGTTACCGACCATAAGGATCTATCTAACTATCCATGTTGAAGCACACCTTGTTGAACAGTAACTGTTACCGTCCATAAGGATATATCTAACTATCTATGTTGCAGCACACCTTGTAGAACATTAACTGTTACCGTCCATAAGGATCTATCTAACTATCCATGGTCAAGCACACCTTGTAGAACAGTAACTGTTACCGTCCATAAGGATCTATCTAACTATCCATGGTCAAGCACACCTTGTAGAACAGTAACTGTTACCGTCCATAAGGATCTATCTAACTATCCATGGTCAAGCACACCTTGTAGAACTGTAACTGTTACCGTCCATAAGGATCTATCTAACTATCCATGGTCAAGCACACCTTGTAGAACTGTAACTGTTACCGTCCATAAGGATCTATCTTACTATCCATGTTGAAGCACACCTTGTAGAACAGTAACTGTTACCGACCAAAAGCATCTATCTAACTATCCATGGTCAAGCACACCTTGTAGAACAGTAACTGTTACCGTCCATAAGGATCTATCTAACTTTCCATGGTCAAGCACACCTTGTAGAACTGTAACTGTTACCGTCCATAAGGATCTATCTAACTATCCATGTTGAAGCACACCTTGTAGAACAGTAACTGTTACCGTCCGTAACATGTATTTCACTGGTTGAGGTCAGACAACAACGTTAATATCACTGCATTCTGGTCATGTGACATGTGATGGTAGTTCTCGTATGATGTGATAGTGCCCAGCAGAGTGGACATAAATCAGGGGAATCCAGTTAATCCTGCCTTCGTTTGTAAAATGTCAAATGTGATTTCTTTTATATCGCCATTGTAATCCTAAACACATGACAAACCGTTGTAGTGTGTCAAGTGTGTTAACATAATTCAAGCAACACCAACCTCAGGAACAAGGAGAGATGTGACGTCATCAGAGTGACGTGTGATGTGGAACTAAACATTAATTTAATGTAGCGACGGTCCACTTCACATCGTCGCACATACTTGGATTGAAGGCAGTAAATATTACAATTTAAAGCGAAACGTTTTCAGATGAACCAGCAGCACATTTTGTTTAATGGCTTGTAGTGGTGTTTCCCTTGTTCGGAAAGACATCCCACTGCAAACATTGAATATAAAGCTCAAAATATTAGCTAACAATAACGAATTCGCGATTCATTTTTTCATGGTGGTTGCGCACTTGGTTTCATATTCAAAGTATTGCGACGAAATCTACAGGAAAACATCCTCTGTATAGGACACGCTTTACGGTTATCTCCTAAATAGGACAAATAATTAACATAAATTTGCCCTAGCTGACGTAATTTTGGTTAGCGGTAATTATGTTTTATTTAATTTTAGTCCTTAAATTATTATAAAGTTGTTACTTTCTAGTTTTATTCATTTGTTATCAAATTTCAGACGAACGGGTTATTCTAGGAAGTAATTGAATAGAAACAAAGAAGTATTTGCTTGTCAGGCATGATGTATGTATTTAACAAAAGGCATACACACTATGTACATGGCCTTAAATGGGATCTGGTACAACTTATTGTCTGTGGCGACCGAATTGTCCAACATTTTCCAGATTTTATCCTTTATATATGTTGCACACAAAGTCAGTGATCGAACCCACTCTGCCCCCGAGGCTTCCACAAAAAAGTAAGTTCGACAACTGGTAGTGCAGGTCACGTACTTTGTGTCCCACACTGACGAGCGTAAATGTCACGACTCCCATGACCAGTGGCTGAGAGAGTTAGGTGCTAACTTTGTGTGCTGGCGATTAGGCGCCTCACTCCCAAATGGGGCTTTACCCAGAAAAATACTAGAATCCCAAACATAACATTTGTTACAAATTGAATTTTCCAGACTTTGATATACCATTGAGGCAAACTTATACTAAGCATGTTTATCAAACAAGGTATTTCTTCTGGAACTTGTTGGAGGTCAAATAAACAGATTGACTTGACTATACAGTCAATGTCAATTATGAGGCAATGCACATATTGACTACAATTATCAGTTAAAATGCATATTGCCTGACAATTGACATTGACTGTAACATATATACGCTATACTCGCTATCAGTTGCAATCCAATGTGTGCTAGGTGCGTTTTCATTGTAGTTTAGATTATGAATTTAGCATATAACACACATTCTATATGTGCTGCCTGTATGACTACATCGCATTTGTATGAATGTACATCATAACTCAGCCATTTCGCCCTGTATCCACCCTCTATATTGTGTTTTCTACAATAACACAACTATGTTTAATCACTGACACAGTTGTACTTTGGAGCAGAATACTTCCTCTACAGTTGTCGTGTGAACTTTAAGTGTATCAACGTCCGCACAGTATTTCCCGATGTAAAAGCCACAGTAAATAACGTCCTATATACAACATTCAAGGCCCCAGTGAAGCTTTTAAACAATTGCATGGTAGACACGTGCAGGACTTTCCAAATTTGACAAGAATGATGTCGGATGCAATTGGGCCATATCCCATACTGTTACTTGGATCTCATGTTGAAAGTAATCCATATTGAAATATATAACTGATCTGAGTGAGTGAGTGAGTATGGTTTTACGCCGCTTTTAGCAATATTCTAGCAATATCACGGCGGGGGACACCATAAATGGGCTTCACACATTGTACCCATGTCGGGATTCGAACCCGGGTCTTTGGCGTGACGAGGGAACGCTTTAAGCACTAGGCTACCCGACCGCCCCCTTACTGATCTGAATGGATAAACTAAATATTTCACTGATTACCAGCTGTTTCCTTTCAATTAAGATCAAAGGGAGTAAAATGTAAGCAGACTAAAGACATTCTCCCAACAGTACCGAGGTGTACAGGACGACTTGTCTCATGGAACATGCGTGACTTCCGTGGAATCCCAGGGAAATGATGAAGCAGGTTTTCCGAACCTGAATCTAAATGCACACATAGAAATGGCAGATATATTGGAAGTTACAATCCTTTGACACGGCAGCTGAAACGTTGTTAGCAAAGTGACACACTTATCAGCGGAACAGAGAGAGAGGGAAATGAGTTTGTATGTCAAAAGTCGGCTGACAGCGACCAGTCATCTGAATTCAGTTGGAAAAGGTTGTACAGGGGAAGTACAGGAGATTCGTATAAGGTCATCAAGCGGTTTACGACATCAAAGTGACGATATGTGGTAAGTTCTGTTAATGCAGATGGCGGACAAAAACGTCATTAGTCACCCAGTAGAAACATTAACATAAACATTTTCAGTTTTATAACAAGTGAAAACGCTCTAACAGGACACATTTCAAGTGAATAACTTTGTTGGTTGATTTGTATTTGTAATGTGGTAATGACCTGATGTATTACCATATGACTATATTACTATATATGTCAACTGAATTCAACTCGAAAACACTTTTGAGATTTTGAGAAAGTCGTTGAGATTCTCATATGACGTCATCAAGCAGTTGACAACATCAGGATGACGATGTGTGGTCAGTTGCGTTTATTATAGAAAACGGTATTAGTCACCCAGTAGAAACATTAACAGGAACAATTTCAGCATTATAACAAGCGTCTATGAAAACGCTCTATCTATTGCCATGTTGATTTGCGCTTTTTATGTGATGATGACCTAATTACTCATTCATGTAACTAAGGATATTTTGTTTTTATTTCCTTTTACTGACATTCAAACACAGCGTGTATGTGATTTTGTTTGCCCTTCATTTTTTTTAAATTTTATTTTTTCCGTGTAATGTGGAAATACAACATTTTATAAGTTAGATCATCACAAAGAAACTTCGTTAGATTCATGCAGCCGGCTGATGAACTCATCGCTCACTTTGGCTGCGTTGATCGAACAAGTGAGTTGAAAATTACGTAGGTGAACTACTTCTTTAACTAGCATCGTAACATTAATGTGTGTAACAGGTGTCTCTTCTTATATTTCATGATATCTTCTTTATTACAGGTAAAAAATGTCTTTGCTGGTGATAGTGCACATCGCTTACCTGATCATACCTACAGGTAAACATTCTGATATAAGTTTAATGTTTCAAATCTTAACCTTCTAAGACTTGTTCAAGCCATGTTATTAATGTGTTATAATCATTTTCCAAAACAATGAACAAATCCAGGTCAGCTCTATATGTGTTGACCTTCTAGGGTTGACTTGGTAGAGATTCAGATCCTTGATACCTGTCTTAATTAACTGATGTATTCTTTGTATGATTTCCAGCTGCCATTTGCAGTGAAGACCAACACTGCCGAGACTGTGACAGCGACACTGGCAGTTGTCGGACCGAGTGTGACAGTGGTTATTTCGACCTGAAATGTAAGACTCCTTGTAGCAGCAACTGTAGAAATAGGAAATGTAAATCCTTGAGCGGTGGCACAGAAGTATGCACAGACGGTTGTGTCCCAGGTTATCAGGGCGAGAGGTGCAACATACCATGTGACAGTCCAGGAGGTAACTGTACAGCTTGTGTTGGCGGTTGTGATGGAACATTTTGCGAGGTGAGTTCAACCTGTGTGTCAGGATGCAGTGGTTCCTACTATGGCTCTGACTGTAAGCATTGTTCAAGTAGATGTAAGACGTGCAATGGCTATACAGGGATGTGTGAGGAGTGTTTTCCACAATATTTTGGGACGAACTGCGAGTATTTATGTGAACACTGTAGGGACACGTGTCAATTCGGATGTCTGCGTGGCTGTATACCTGGGTTTTATGGTGCTGCCTGTGAGAAGGAATGCAGTACAAACTGTGGATATAGTCCAGTGATGCTGGACAATATCACTGCAGATACACGACCTGTACTTAATGACACAGTGGAATGCAATCAGTACAGTGGTGATTGTCTTCATGGATGTGTAGATGGCTGGCTTGGGTCACAGTGCTCCTCACGGTGTAATATTAACTGTAGGAATGGGAGATGCAAAGATACAGGCGACTGTGTAGATGGGTGTGTGGATGGCTGGTTTGGTCCACACTGCTCCTCACAGTGTAACGGTAACTGTAGGAATGGGAGATGCAAAGATACAGGCGACTGTGTAGATGGGTGTGCATCTCATCATTTTGGAAGAAACTGTATACCATGCCCTGACAACTGTATCAACCACACATGTCATACAAGCTATGGAACTTGTGTTCATGGATGTACTACTGGATTCTATGGACAATCGTGTAATAACACGTGTGATTTCTGTCTTGGTGGAGAGTGTGACCAGATGACAGGAATGTGTTTCAAAGGCTGCAACACAACCGGACACAAATGCACACCTATCTGCAGGAACAACTGCACTGTGGACGATTGCCGGTCATGTCAGGGTGAGTTAATATCAAGGGAAAGCACATCGATGTGCATCATAATTGAAATATAAATGATGAATCATGAAGTATGTAGGCCAATGGCACTGCATCATGTTATGCCACTCAGACCAAGGTCGTTTATATTTCCATTTGTAAATGAACTGCCTCCATGGTCTAGTGGTAGAGTGTCCGCCCAGAGAGTGGTAGGTCCGGACTTCCATTCCTGGCCGCGTCGTACCAAGAGGCGTTAAAAAAGATGGAACCTCTTTAACATTAAGGGGGGCTACCTACTTCCATGAAACTGCCATTTGCTGCCTATACATTTAAAACAAAATATATTTGTGTATCTGTCATAGTCTCGATACTTACAATTGTAATACTATATTATGAAACACATTGCACAGACAAGATTTAAAACCATCATTGTCAAATATTGGCTTTCCAGATGAGAATGGGATGAACACGGCATTCGGACTGTGGACGGGGCTTACAGCTGTAGTCATTGTGATTGTGATGCTAGCATGCCTGTGTTCCATCAAACGTTGGAGAACTAAAAGGTACCTACATCACAAGTAGATAGTTCCATATCTCTTGCAATAGCTGGCTAATGATTCGCAATTATCTTTACAGTAATTCAGACACAACCTGACAATTATTGAAATGTACTCTTCACACTTGAATCAATATGCCAGTTCACTCAATTTTGTGAAGGCACTTCGCAGCTTCTGTTGCCATCTAATATTCCTCTTTATTATTCAGAGCTCAACAATCGGCAACTGTTCAACCCAACGACGAAGGCGTTCAGGGTGATATATATTCTGTAGAATACCAGGCCATCAACAGATATTGGCAGATCAGAGATGAAGATATAGGCACATCCTGTGTGCCACCAGCTATGAAGCAAGAGGAATGTGGGCAAAGACTCTCCATGCCAGTGTTGGCAGAATGTTTTTCTACAACAGGTGGTGGAACATACAGTGATGCTTCCGAGAGTTCTGCTGGAGACACACAGTCCTACACTCATATATCACAGGATGTTGCAGGCAGTGGTGCAACCCAGAGTTCTGCAGGTGACACACAGTCCTACACTCATATATCACAGGATGTTGCAGGCAGTGGTGTAATCCAGCGTTCTGCCGGAGATAACCAGCCCTCCACTCATATATCACAGGATGTTGCAGACAGTGGTGCAACCCAGCGTTCTGCCGGAGATAACCAGCCCTCCACTCATATATCACAGGATGTTGCAGACAGTGGTGCAACCCAGAGTTCTGCTGGAGACACACAGTCCTACACTTATATGTCACAGGATGTTGCAGACAGTGGTGCAACCCAGCGTTCTGCCGGAGATAACCAGCCCTCCACTCATATATCACAGGATGTTGCAGGCAGTGGTGCAACCCAGCGTTCTGCCGGAGATAACCAGCCCTCCACTCATATATCACAGGATGTTGCAGGCAGTGGTGCAACCCAGCGTTCTGCCGGAGATAACCAGTCCTCCACTCATATGCCACAGAATGTTTCAGACGGCGAATCATCCCAGAGTTCTGCCGGAGATGCCCGTTCCTACACGCATATGTCACGGGCCATGGCAGATTCTGATTCGTCCCACAGTTCTGCAAGTGATGCTCAGTCCTACACCCGACTCTTGCGTGATGTTTTTGTTGATGATCCCAAGACAGTTGTGAGCTATATATCACCCGTTCATAAATAAATACATATGTATTTTGTAACTTTAAGTCTGTTATGTACTTTGTCTGTAATTCAAATCTGATATTCAGCTCACCTCACCTCAAACATGATGTGCAATGCAATTCCCTATTTTGATCATACACCTCGTAACATCACTATTGTGATATAGTGATTCATAAACACTTGCTCATGACGAAGTCGTTTGATATCATCAACTGGATTTTCGGCAGATATTTATCAGGGCGATTGAAAGGGTTTATTCGTTTTTATTAAACTGTTTGGAGAGTCAAAAGTTTTTTTCCCGGAAGTGTACAATCTGATAACCACCCTTAAAGCTACAAAGTGACGTTTACTGGTGTATGTGCAACAAAGCAAGTGCATTTGGGCGTTTAGGTTTCAGCAAAAAGAAGTCTTGCATATGCTTTTCGATTTCTCGACTTTCTACATAGTACACAAAGTATCTCCCTATAATATGACTTCACCATTGCCTGGTTTAATATTATGGCCAATTACACCTTATACATAATCTAACCTTCACTGTATATGCTATGCTGTGTATTATGCTATGCTTTAAAACTGTATACAATTATCTATTTTGATGTATTACTACATGCGTTCTCCCATGTTTGCCCCAAATATGACTCTATATAATGCCTTATAAATTCCTTTATATATTACTCTGTGAATTACCCAACAAATGTACCGTATTTTAACACTCACCTTGTATATTTTGATATCAACTCACTCTACATTTTGTGTTATACATTACTCAGATATGTACTAACTAATTAATGTGTGTCTCGATTCCTTTTGGAGTTATGTCTTCTTGTAAATAAAATGTACATATGTGAAATTGTAATGGCTGATTCAAGATTGCTCGATTACCCGGTCAAGACTCCATTGTTCACATGTCGTACGGTAGGGGTACTGCTGTGCACCTTCAAGCAACAAACAGGGTCTTCAGTTTTATGCAAAGTTTTACCTTATGTTACAAATGGTACAACGCTATGTACTAACCCTATGCATTATTCTAACGACACTTACTCAGATAATGAAAACACTTGTGATACATGATCCGGAGCAGTCAACTACTGTGCCAATACGATTGGTCTGAACTCGCAACGGGAGACGTCTTAAAAATTAACAGTGATCTAAGCCTACCAAATAATACTTTTTTAACCTGCAGAAATTGGCGTGTCTGAAGTTGCTCATGCTAACAACCACTGAAGTATGTGTTCATGATATCAACCACTTATATACCAGGAGCAGAATCGAGTAATTACAGGCGTTGGAAGTCTGAGGTGGGTGGGAGAGTATGAGATTAGTGTGTGTGGGGGTGGGGTGGGGTGGGGTGGGGTGGGGTTGGGGGTAGGGGAGGTATTGAGTGTACAGGTAGGTGGACAGATGCGGGGTTGTATTTGGGAGCTGCGGATTTCTGCGGTGAGTAGCGGGGTTGACTGAGGAAAACGTATCCGTTTTTGAGCACGAAGGTGTTGAAATACTTGATATAAAGACGAATCGACTCTAAAATATTGTTTACTCACGATTTGTTCCAGGTTGTAACATATTTTCAAAAGTACGAAATCGCCACAAGTTATTAAAGCACTCCTTGACTATCAGATAAATTATAATAAACGATCTTAAGTTGAAATGAATAAAAATAAATCTTCATATGTACAAACATATGTACATAGAGTGCATATATATGCATTTGAAATATATTTTGAACTGAACAGCAGAGCGAGGTTTCAAATGTTACCTTTAGAGTGGATACATCTACAGATAACATTGCTTGACCGTGTCAGTTTATGGAAGAACACTTGTGAGAACACAGGGAGAGATCTAGACGAGCACCTCAAATTATTGTGTTCAACGAACAGCTTATCAGTGTATCTGATGAAAAGTGAATACGTGGTGAATACATACAGGATTTTTCTCTTCCAAGCAGGCTTCATATGAACAAGTAGACAACTCTTCAAGCCATGCTGAGGCGAAGCAGAGTTCTCTATTTCAGTGAGTACATCCTTTCAGCACAAAGGTATGCTTCGGTATGATGCATTGACTACATGAGCAGCAAATAAATGACTCGGTTACCGCGAAATTCGTACAGTAACGTGAAAGAGAAGGTGTAATTCAAGAAAACCAAATGACCAATTATGAATATGGTCCATAGAACCATCACCTAACTATGACAAAACATTCAACAGTAAATATTATAACTGTATCACCCTGTACTATAAATACTGACATGGCAATAAATATGGTCGATATTCTGTTATTTAAGATTTGCAGTAAATATTTTACATTCAATAAAATGAAAACACAACCTTGTGTTATTTATCACAGTCGTTTTAATATATGAAGCCACGTTTAATTTTTTAGCAACATACACAATACATGTGCATAAATGATTTGTTTTAAGGATGCGATAAGAAAATGCATTAATGAATTGCACTGTCAGTGATAGATAGTTAATGCATGAAGTGGTTATCTGAATGTAAGCAAACAGCTCTATGATTGTTTTACGCATCAAATATTTACACAACGTTTGCACGTTTACACAGTGTCACTACTTGATGTGCGTTTCTTCTGGGTTTCTTCCTTTCTTTCATTCATCTTTATTTTGTCACATTTTCAGCATTTCTCATTCATGCAGTCGCAGCATGCGAGTGGGGCAAATATGGGGATAATTGTGACAAACGCTGCTCCAAAAACTGCCAAGTTAACCTACAGAGGAACCTCACACACTGTAACAAGGAAACTGGAGAGTGCTCCGATGGCTGCATCACTGGGTGATATGCTGCTCAATGTGACCAACACTGCGGCAAGAACTGTCTGGACAACGTCTGCAATCATGGGAATGGACACTGCACAAGGGGATGCATTGGAAACCAAATAGGGGATTTCTGTGAGATCACTGAAAGTGTGGGATGCTACCCGATTTCACATTGTTACTTCAGTTTAGGGATGGCACAATAGAAATCCTGATTGTCATGCAATGATTCCTCAGTGCAAACAGTTGTTGGGCATTGCATTTTGCAAAAATAAGATATAAATTCAAAAACACCCGTCGTATTAGAAATATGTTTTTGGTTTAATTTTCTCTCTAAAGTCACAATTATTTATTATCTCATTTGTTTGTTTTTGTATAACGCCTCACTCAGCAATACTCCTACCGTATTAGGTCTTATCACACATTTGATCCCAAATGGATGTGGTATATTCCTGAATGAGTACTCATTTCAATGCATCAATACACAATCAGTTTGTATTATGTAACAAAAACAAAAGTTTAACAGTGGTTTTAATGTTACATATTTGTTAACCACTAGTACATATCATCTACCTATTTAAACGAACACATACATTAAGTAACATATTCATAATTTTTCATATATTTTTACCTCACAAAACTTTGTAACAACACTGGAATTTGGCATTAAGAACATACTACAAGTAACACCTCCACTTATCACAGAAACGATATTAATAAGATGACCCAATTGAACGGTTGTCCATAGGCAACGTTTATTTCGACAGACATCAAGGTCAAAACAGATGAAACAACAGGACAGTCAACGGCACACGTCGCAGTGATCATCACTATCTCCCTTGTGGCAATTAGAGTTATCATCGCCGTAACTGTCGTCATAACACGTCGACGCCAGGGAGACAACAGGTAAGTGAAACAACATTTCATATAATCTTCTTGAAAGCGTAACTTCCATTTCTAAGATTATTTCTGTGTACTCTTACACAAAGCCTACATGGTTTAAAAGAAGATGACTCTTTGATAGAACTGGGACAAGGGTGTAAAATACAAATGCAAGTTATGTTTTTGTTGCAGTGAAAATACTAGTCATGATGAAATTTTATTGTTACTGTCGAGAATGGTGACGGTGGGTTTTAATACATGTACTCAGCTCTAATACATTTTGCAAAACAGGTTATCATTTAGAATTACCCCGTACTCGATGCCAGAAGTGAAAATCTGAACAACGCCATACGTATGACAACAATTGTTCCTTAGTAAAGTGGACATGAATGACATCTTGCCAGCGATGTCTAATTGCTGTTCATGTTTTTTTTTCCTAAAGAGCTGTTCCCATAATAGGTTTAACTTTACATCTCTTACAATAAACGTCTGAATAACCTCAATGTCTCGAGATGGTAAAACAATTCGAGTTTGTGGAAAGGTGGATGGGACAGTCGTGATTCCTTACAATAAACTTACTGCTTGTGACCTTTACATCAGTGGACGTATAGTGTACTTGTTACCCACTTGGTGACCATGATTGTGTCTATCAAATTACTCTCAGAACTAATGATAGGTTCTTATTAATTGCAGAAGAAAGTCAACCCGGAGGCCAAAAGGTATTGTAGCAAATTACATTAGAGGGTTAGATATGTTCACACATTGTAACTGCCACTGGGTAATTGACCCTGGGAAACACCACCATGTTGATTCCAAGCTCCGCATCCCGCCCTTTGGGAAACTGATCCCAAAACCTTTCGCGAATACAAGGCATCAGCACTATTTGAAATTGACTCAGAAATATATTGGAAGTTGGACTCGTACAGTGGCCTGCTTTTAGTGAGCCTGTTTTAGTAGGATATTATGCTTGTGGGTTGTTGTGTGTCTTTGGTCGATTTTGTTCACGATGGCAACGGTAGGCCTAAACTTAAATCTATCACATACATGTATATTTACAACTCTATAACTGTACTCAGTATGTCATTGTCCCACAATGGTGGATGGAGGTTGATTGTATGCAACACAACAACAACCATAGTTAGCAAGATGCATTTCTGTTATCTCCTTGAGTGGCTGATGTACAGAGTAGGGTCGGGTTGGCGGTTGATGATAGTTGTATCTCTTCGGTCCTCGTTGTAACCTACTACTGTAAGGGTTCTGGTAAAATAAGTCCTCAGCAACACATGTTTGTCATAACGGTGATCAGCATCGCTGAATGAGAAGGTGCATACCGTCGTACCTCATTTGCAGAGATATATGCTCATGTTGTCAGTCACTAGATTGTCTGTTTCAGTCTCAATTATGTACATACCAACATCATATAGCCCCGTGGAAAACCATCGTCCTTAGAGTCAGTCACTTCTTAAAAAAAAACACTGACAAAGACCATCACACATAAATCATAAATATATGTCCGAATCAATATATTAACACGTTTACTTAATGCAAAAACACTATGATCCAGTTGAATTGAGCCTATTGACATATCTCTATGTTTCATAATTTGGACATCACCAAATTGACCTTTAGGTAAAAAATACCATAATGGTACTCTGTGTCACTGTTTACAGGCTGACGTCGAATGGCAGGGGTATTGCTATGTTGCGTCAGGAAATACAAACTTCGTTTGTTATGCAATTTATATGAATGATGGGTTCTACCGGTAAAGCAGGGCATCCACACCCTTTTCGCGAACATCTGGTGTCATCACTGATTTTCAGTGGTCCATTCACCCAATTTCATCTGTTATTTGCCCTTTACACCAAATTGAATCTGTTTTGGCAGAAAATCTAGGCGGATTATTCTCTACCATTGTCAATTTATGTTATATTGATAAGCTTACCCACTGAATCAGCACCATCTGGAAACCTTTTTTAAGTCCACTGAATCACAAAAAAAAGTTAAGTTAAATCTAAACAAATATTTTAAAATAACTTCCTAATAATATGGTCGCACGTTATGCCCTTATGTGATTTTTCTTTTTTTCTTTTTTTTTCCAGCTGGTACTGACCCTGAAAATGCTGAAGGCGTGCCTTTACTGCCAAGTAGGTAACCATAACAATGTAGTGATGTTGTAACAGTGACGTTGTATGTATTCTTACATATTCCGTAACATTGTGAAAAGAAAACTAACATCAATAGAATTTGACTTGACTTTCACCTTGTCAATGCCTAATGCCTTAAGCACTGCAGTTGTATTGAGAGTGAGTGAGTGAGTGAGTGTGGTTTTATGCCGTTTTAGCAATATTCAAGGAATATCACGGAGAGGGACACCAGAAATAGGCTTCACACATTGTATCGATGTCGGGAATCGAGCCCAGGTCTTCGGCGTGACGAACGAACGCCTTTACCACGAGGCTACCCCACCGCCTGCAGGTGTAGAGACGTAGATGATGATGACGGTATATGTGTCATACGTTCTGTAGCAGCAGCTAGGGTTACACAAAACATGTTACTTGTGAACTCGTGTGTACACTTATGACTTGGTGGTTGCTTATTCTCGCCTACATTCAAGGACACTTTAAGAATGGGCAGGATGATGCCAGTGTGTTAACTTATTAGTTTGGCTGGCATCAATCAGAAGTAAATGTGTATTGTTTTGAGGGATAAACTTGATCAATGTTGCTTGAGGTGGATACATCTGAGTATGTGAGACTGAAGGAGAATACTAACTGTTAAAGTTATTTGTGGTTTATCTGAATCTTTATTCAATGGTCATGCCTTTTTTCCAAAGAGAAGGCATAATGATAAACCAGGAGTGCTAATACCTCTGTTCTTGAGGTTGATATAGGAATTGAACTTTCGTAAATTACATTACATTGGGCAAACACTTTCAAAGCTTAATGGGATGTCATTAAGTCGTGAATGCTGAGAAATTTGGCATCGTGTTTGCGGCATGCACATATTTTCCTTTTTATAAAATGTACTGCAATGGACATGTACATATTCAAAGCAAAATAGTGTTACAAAACCTGGAATGTTTATACCTTGTGTTTAGGATGGCTTAGGGCATTTCATAACATTATGATATTGGTGAAGTCATCTTCCTCCGCACTTGGTAAAGTGAAACGGTTCATAAAACATGGTTCTGTTGGGAATGTTTTCGCAATTGAGGACAGTTCGATGGCAAAATGTGCTTGAATAAATCTGATCTTAAATTACACAAACAGACAGAGCACAATCAGTATCCAAGGCATCCGGCCAATAACGCAAAAGTATACACAATACAATTCATGCTTTCCTAGCCTCATTTTTATCTAAATCGTTTGAACATTAAATGATTTTCTAGCCACAGGTTTTGGGGAACTTTTGATGAAAACGGAGCGTTCATCAAACGTAAAAAAACATGCAAAAGCAAAAGCTTAGCATGGTCCTCACAGGGGTGGGGGATCGTGGGTCCAGTGTCAATTGTTGATGTAAAGTTGTAACATTTCATACTTTAAATACGTATTAGATAATACAGCGGGAGTTCAATTAAATATCTCCCTTTACACTTAGTGAGGACTTGTATTGCGAGTAGTATTGACATTTATGAAGTGTTCAGGGATAGGTGCCAAATTTGGGCGAGACAGTCATGAACTCTTTGTTCGAAATACTCAAAAACAATTTGATATCACCAATCTCTTGACCTATTTATGCAACACAGCATGTTTAAATGCCCACAAATAAAGTAAACCTTTCATCATTGGTTATATGTCCAAGGTTTTGATTCAATCAATTGATTCATAATAATGCTTTGGTAGCCTGTACTGCTAAACATAATTGAATATTTTGACCGTGAGAGTTTGGGAGTGAAACAAAGTGCTAAGATATGTCTAGTTATTCACAGTTTCTATCTGTTCCCCTTTAAAATATAATTTTTCATAATGTCTTAGTAGTCTGCCCCTTCTTGTTTGAAGATCGATATTCATTCCTGTAGCATAACATAATTCTTCAACACAAGTTATTTCTTTCTTAAGTTTTTGTTTAATAAAATGTTATATATACATGTATATAATTCGCTAAATTTCGAATAATTATATTACCATGTTGATATACTTATGTTGTGCAGTAGTGTGGTGTGGTGTGGCGTATACTGTATGTGTTGTTTTACGCTAATTCTTGTAGCCATTGAAATGTGAATTCCAACGGTACTATATAAAACATTGAAGCAAAAATGTGATAAAGCCAATGTACCGTTTGAGATGAGATTTGACATGAATCATGTTCTAATTTGTTTTCTTCAGGATATAATGTGCTTTCCCACATCAATAATCAAAGGAAAGATGCGTATGCAGGTGTCATGGAGAGAGGTAGGTTTCACACACACACACACACACACACACACACACACACACACACACACACACACACACACACACACACACACACACACACACACACACACACACACACACATATATATGTTTATATATATATATAAATATATATATATATATATATATATATATATATGTCATGGATAGAGGTAGGCTTCATATTTGACGGACGTTCAATACGTTTTGCAACTACAATATGAGACAAAGTCGCAGAATATCTGTTGCACTTTTATTGTTCAGTATTATCTCCATTCACCTCAATATAGTTATTCCATTTGTCCTTCAAGCTTTTAATACCACTTACCTCGCCTCTGTGGCAGCCTTTATGCCCTCGTCATCCACGTACGGCAGATTTCATTTGACGTAACAGGAAATAGTCACTGGGGGCTGAATCTGGGCTGTAGGGTTGGTGATGTAACTGTTCGAATCCACATTCACATATGGCGGCCTGTGTAATTCTCGACTTGTGAACCGGAGCATGTAGGGAACTTTATTACAGCGGATTGTTCTGGTTTGAGGGAATCCATGATTGTGACCATCCTTAGGGGAATGAAGCCATCACATCTAACTTGTTGTGTCCGGAACTTGTTATGACACGTGTCAACCTGCTGTTATGACCAGTGTCACACCTGCCACAAGTTGACATTGTTTGCGTAAACACAAATGGCCAAGTTGCAAAACTTATTGACCTTATTGAACGCCCCTCGTGGAAATCAGTGACAACACAAGGTGTTCGGGAGAAGGTGAGCACGTCCTGCCCTACCGGTAGTACCCTCGTATTCACACAATTTACGTAAAAATGTTGGTATTTATTGCGTGACGCCGCACAGCATTACTCCTGTCTTGGACGGACAAAAAGGACCCCAAAACAAGGCGCGTCTCCCTTAGCGCTCACATCGACAGATACTCAGAAAGATTGGGAATTCGATATCTTAAATAGTCAGTTTTTGTTCTTTAAAATGAATGCAGCTGACGCTATGTAGAGTAAATCGTAAAGCTAATGACGAAAATAATTAGTGCAACCTTGTGTCTACCTTTAAGGAGGTAAAGCAATATGTATGATTAATATTGGTATGTATTGTGTTATTGTAAATGTTACCAGTGTCATTGCAACGCGCTAACGTGGCGCAATGACAGTGTTGTGCATATGACATATATGTGTTGTAATATAAACGGTATCTAACGGGTACGAATGTAGTAATTTATTTGTAACTCATTTAAACTTTACATATTCTCTAAGTTGTTAAAAAGTGGCGTATGATTACAACATGATTCGAGCATAGAATATTCTTTCAAAGTGCCCCCTGGAAATTAAGGGCGCATCTTCCTCCAATATTGATTAGAAGAAATATTCGATGCCGATTCTAAAATCGTGTCGAAATAGCATTTAAATACACAGACATCACCGAGATACAGTTGTATGAAACGGAAATTCAGCTTCACACTCTGTTCAGCGAAGGTGAGCCGTGAAGGAAACCCGCGAGACGATTTACGTTGACTGTGTGATTTCATAGGAACCAGCATATTGTTTATCTGTTATACAATTGGTGGTAATTACTGTCTTCTATGCTTCTATGCCTCTCTGTTGTTGTGTGAAAAACAGTAGTGTCGATCGGGAGTAGATTATTCACCTATGGGTTGAGTGGACCTTGCAGATTATGATTACTTTGTCTATCTGTTTTGTTTTCTGAATGTCTCCATGCTGTCTTCCAGGTATGCTGGAGTGGGAGATTCAGAAGACAGAAGAATTATTTGAAGAGACTGCTATCTACCATAAAGTCAAGGGACGTTTAGAGAACTTTAGACATGTGACAATATCTGGTGCTTCAGGGGACGGAAAGACGTCAATGGCGCTGATTTTGGGGTCAGAATACCAGAAGAAAGGGTATGAACTATATGAACTATATTTTGTCAACAACATTTCAGAATTCGAATTATGTAGTGAAAGACAAGGTAAATTTCTGTGTTTCATATTTGATGACATATTTGGAACAGTAGGAATATCAACCGATTCACCTCACCTCCAGACGGATTTTAGATATTCTCAACTCTTACCTTGAGCAGGTGGCATCTAACTTTTCTAAATCGTTCCAATCTAATGGACAACTTGACTCTCATTCAAATCACAGAGAAAAAGACATGGGAAACGTTCGTGTCATATTTACCACAAAATCGTACAATCTTGACCTGGGAAAAATACACTTGGGAGAAAATGAGTGTGGGTTTTTCAAAGGAGATTCAGTCATTGACCTTACACGGTCTGAGTGTCGCTGCACAGTCAAAGACAAGAAACAGATGTTTATAAAACATAAAACTTATAATAGTAACAGTAGTTATTTTGATTTAGACAAAATATGTGGCATTAAGGACCAACTGTTTGGCTTCCCGCTCACATGCAAACTGTTCTTCAGTTTTCCAAAATCACATGATCAATATGAAGATTTTTTTTAAGACGCCTTAACCTATCTCAGGGCAGAACTGGAATCTCTGCTAAAAAAGGGGAATAACAAGTCAGCAGCACTGATCCTGATGTTGCTTTGTGAAGGTAACCTGAACCTTTGCCATTTGGAATCAGGCAGTCAAACACTTGAGAAACATCTCTCCACAGTTTCAAGTGTAGTTGGTGGTGTTGACCGTGCAGAGATTATCAGTTGCGTGAAGGGATTTTTCGGTACATTTTTTACCAAAGCAGACATCACCAGTTTTTCACACCCATCAACCTATGATGCCTGTGCCTTTGTCTATTGCAAAATCAATCGTGCTTTTGTATTACAACACTGCAGTATAAGATTCCTGTATGAACGTGTTCAGGCCCAAACAGTACCTGCATGCGAGACTGATGAGGATAGGCATTTCATCTATGTATCGGATGCCTACAATGACATCATTGCTTCAAGACTGGCAGGGGCTGTGAGGGAGGGGGACTATCGGATGTCCATCATGCACCCTATATTGGAAAGACATGATATAGTGGATAAGGTCCTTGCTGAACTCAAACCCTTCCTGACTGATACATCAGTGACAGATGAACATGGTAACAACGTATTTCATTATGCCTGCTACTCAGGAAATGTGTACATTGTACGTAAACTCCTTCTTTTTTGTGACATCAACAGTGAAGGAGCAGCTGGTTGGACGGCAGTAATGATAGCTGTGATGCTGGGGCTGGAGGGTTCTCACATTCTTGTGTCAGAGGGAGCTGACATCACACTGGCCGATAAAGACAACAATAGCTGTCTTCACCTGGCATGCACACGTACACATAGGTCCTTAGTAGAATACCTACTGCAAAATAATGACAGAAACATTAGAGGAAAAATGGGATGGACACCACTGATGACTTCAGCTTTGATTGGAAGGAAAGATGTGTTTGACTTCCTTGTGTCAAAGTGAGCTGACATCACACTGACTGATGACGACAATAACAACATTCTTCATCAGGCATGTTGGAGAGGAAATAAGCCCTTAGTAGAATATCTACTGAAAAACACTGACATAAACATAAGAGGAAGTATGGGACGGACCCCACTAATGAATGCAGCTTGGAGAGGACAGAAAAATGTATTTGACTTCCTTGTGTCAAAGAGAGCTGACATCACACTGACTGATGACGACAATAACAACATTCTTCATCAGGCATGTTGGGGAGGAAATAAGCCCTTAGTAGAATATCTACTGAAAAACACTGACATAAACATAAGAGGAAGTATGGGACGGACACCACTAATGAATACAGCTTGGAGAGGACAGAAAAATGTATTTGACTTCCTTATGTCAAAGAGAGCTGACATCACACTGACTGATGACAACAATAACAACATTCTTCATCTGGCATGTTGGGGAGGAAATAAGCCGTTAGTAGAATATCTACTGACAAAGAATGACATAAACATAAGAGGAAAATGGGACAGACACCACTAATGAATGCAGCTTGGAGTGGAAAATGTTTAATGAGTAGGGAATTGCAAAGACCAGTCTTTATTAATGTCATGTGATTTTGTCATATGCTGTATATATACTGCAATGTTATTGGACTGTCACCAGGTGTTATTTGGAAATTGTGTTTACTATTCTATAATACGTTCTTCTAATGCCTCCCACAACAAACAAAATAATACCTTTAATGGGATAATTAGCCATGCGTAGTAAATAACCTGTATTTATTTCCTTTGTGACAGAGATTATGTTTGTTTTATAATTAATTGTCCATCATTCTACCAACTTGATGTATCCCAGATGTATGCCTTATGTTTCCAGGTTTGTCAGCACCGTACACGTGCTCTTTGGTTTCTCGTCTAAGACGTGCATTACTTCGGGCTTTCCTCCCACATTAAGCTGACACGCCGTGGGATAACTGCAATATTGTTAAAAGCAGCGTTAAACCCAACCTACTCACTTAATATGCTGCCGTCATATAGCTGGAATATTGCTGATTGTGGCGTTAAACGACAAAAAAACATACAAACGATGACTCTGCTGTCTCTGCTGCAATGTTTTTGAATTGGTACCACTGTACAACTGTATTTATCCTTTCACTGTATGTTCTACTCATGCTAACAAACATACAACTAATGGCACTTTCAACTGGATAGTTAGATATGCGGTGTAAACCACCTTTATTGGATGACTTTGTGACATGAAGGAATGTCTTACAATTAGTTACCCAGGACTATACACACCCACGATACACAGCCAGCTGTCTCCACGGCGTTCTTCTGAACCAAATAGCTTCTGTGCTGGAATGAAATATTTATATCAAGCCTTGTATAGACTCGTTCTATTTCTAACATCATGCATAATCGTGCACTCAATCTGTATCTAAGATCTTATTTGTTTACTTGTTCGGGCAATGGCAGCATCAGGACACTGTTGTCATGAATCACAATGCTTTGCACGGTAACTGACCTGCATGACATCGACGGTTTTCTTGTGATTAATGTTTACGTTTTAAGATTTGAAGGGTTTATTGTTTTAAATGTTATTTGTATTTTGTTTTATCATTAGTTTGTACTTTGGGACGTATCACAATAATACGTTATTGTGCTTATTAATTTCAATAACGTTAACAAACTCAACACATGCAAATAATGCTAATCATTACTATATATAAACATTCACCACCGAGCAAGGACTCGGATGTAAACCAAATTTTTTTACCAAATTTTTTTACGCTATGCATATTTTGTAAATAATGTATGTGCTTCTCCGAGGGTTTTAGATTTCTGTGCAGGGTAATCTACCCTGAATGTGTGCATACCAATGTAACAGGACGATTACTAAACACTTGACTATATGTTTTTGATTTGTACAGTATATGGTGTTTAATAAGTAGGGACTTGTAAGGATAAAACATTATTTGTTTCATGTGATTTTGCCACATGCTGTATATACTGCAATGTAATTGAACCGTCACCAGATGCTATCTGAAGATTGTATGTCTTATTGCCTTATATGTTCAACTAATACTTACCAAAACACACCAGATGATACGTTTAATTGGAGAACTAGTTGCACAGCGTAAATAACCAATATTGGTGACTCAGAAATATGTTGTTAAAAGTAATTGCCCATGATTCTACACAGATACATTTGATGTGAATTGCGTGGTTTAATGTCTTAGACCTACTGTTTTGAAGACTCACTAGCATACATATTTATTTATCTCTTCAAAATATGTTGGATACTGTCATTTGAAACTGTAAAACTGTTTTTGTTTGTTGTATTGATGGTGTAGCCGGTGTTTAAATGAGTGTCAACAAATTTCCCGACTTTCCCTGTTTATAGTTGACCATGGAACATAAACACTCAACCTCGTCCCATTTGTTCACCAAAGGTTTATGTGACATATCACATGGAATTGTATTAGTGATTAACTTCAATAACATTATCTGAGCCAGCACATACAAATATCCTCTAATCCATTCATCTAGATCTATGAGGAGTCAGCATCGAGCAAGGACACGGTTGTTTCAAACATTAACTTTACCATACCATGTAACAATATTGCAGTTATATTTGTAATATATTCAATGCTTCCTTTAGGGTGTTAGATAACTGTTTAGGGGGTCTAACCCTGATTGTGTGCATAACAAGGTAACAGAACCAACGTTAAACAATTTACTATAAGTCATATACCTTCAGAGTAGATGGTGTTTGATATGAAGGGATTTGTAAAGTCAATATTTCATTTTAGTTTTGCCATATGCTGTATGTTATGGAATCGTTACAATATGGCTGAGCAAGGACCAAAATGTTATCAATTTTTTTATGTCTTGGTCACAACAGTTTGTGTATACTTTACAATCAGCAATAAATAATTGGAAACTTAAATACATTTCCTCTTGCGCTTCATGTCATCATAGTTGGATCTACATCTATGCCGTTCACTCGTCACGCGGGGCGGTCGGGTAGCCTAGTGCTTAAAGCGTTTGCTCGTCACGCCGAAGACACGGGTTCGATTCCCGACATGGGTACAATGTGTGGAGCCCATTGCTGGTGTCCCAGGCCGTGATATTGCTTGTATATTGCTAAAAGCGGCGTAAAACCAAAGTCACTCACTCACTCGTCACGCAAGGTTTCAGTTTGAATCCTGACATGTGTAAAGTTAATATCTGGTTTCTGCCATCGGGACACTGCTACCTCATTCACTTGAATTCGTTTATTCCCAGTCAAGATCAGAGAGGCGTTAGATGACCAGAGTCGCATTGCCCTTTGAACAAGTTTGATCTTTTTGTTAAATGTATCCATATCATATTAAAAATAGCGTATTACATTTAGTTCCCTGGTTAGTTCCTCTTTCTCTATTGATTTAGTGTGAGTAGCATGACACCTGGGTGATATCCTGGATATGCCATATGGTGTTTGATCGTCTTTCTACATCACGAGATGGTAAGGCAGGATGATAAACATATGTGTCAAAGACTCTTCGCGAAAACGTGGGGTGAATGAGTTATAATAAGGGGGTAATTAATTCATACTAAAGGAGGACACTGAAGCGTCAGTCCTTAGCATGGTGTCTCAATGGTCTGGCACGATAGTCAGGACTAATACAAGCAGCTACACACAGGTGCATGCATGTCAATGTATAAGTGAAACAAATGTTGAAAGCGTTCATTAGACACTATGTGTCATGGCACTCCTGTAACTAATGGGTACAGGTGGACTGTTTATAGTCATTTGCCTCATCCAACTAAGTGAATCCCTCTATAGAACATGGTGCGTGTACACATGGCTTTAACGTTAACATTTTAACTCATCTTTTCTATTTTGTTACCTAAAAATGTGGTATAAATTACTGAGGATCATGTGTGTTTGATGCCATCTACGGTCATACTAACCTCTCACACTGGACATTCGCTGCCGTCCTGGTTTATGCGCCACTTAAAAGATTACAATCTAAAATCAGAGACAACAGTAGAACACGGTTTAGTAGGTGAAGAAGGAATATATGTGTTCCGGTTTCAGCACATCATTACAGACAGTTTTAGATGCATCTATAGTGAAAGGTCATAGTCAGTGACAGGTATCACATAATCACAGTCATGTTCCTATTTGAATATATGCATAGAAATTCAAAATGATGGCAAGCCCTGTTACCAAACGGCATAAAATTAGGGAAGATTTCGAATCATGAATGTCCCTTCATGCTGAGCAATGTACACATTATTCAACTTTTGTGGAAAGGCACATTTTACACTTTTAATCAAGATTTCGACGTCTAAGGCGTGGCCATTACATTCTAGAAATTGTATTTTGTACATACCCCGAGATGTAGTGTACAATACACCATCAACAGAGTAGAGAAAGGGTTCTAAAAAGAGTGGTCATTAACTCAATGGGCAAGCTTTTTCAAACAAGCATAACAGTCTGAGGAAGGCACCGAAGCGTCATATAATCGTTAAGAGTGACTTGTGAAGGCCCTTAACTAATATGGAAATAGTAGATATGCTGAATCACATGGACGGGTGTGTGCCCGTGCTGATCATTTTGATTTATACCGTTAGATGTAATCTTCAACAACCATAGATCCTATGTGAACACAACTGCGGGGAATTCAACAAATCCTACTTTCTTCGGTAAAACGGTAGATGTGATTTCATCTATATCGTCACTGTTATCATACAGCCATGCACAGTCAACCTGAAGGACAGTCATTGAATAGTGGGTCGTGGTGGAACTATATCCCGGTGAGCTCATGGAAGTGTATTTCAACTGGGAATTTCCGTTTGTATTAACATATACATTTAAGGTTAGCCTGGTGAAAGAATTGTAGTTGATCACTTAACTATGATTATGACCTGGAGGTCTGAACGAATGCAAGTGTTTTGCATTTCCTCATTCGGCCGACACTGAAATGTCGACAGACTATGTCGTCTTACAGAGAGCAGGACATTGACTCCTGAAATTAACACGGACAAACACGCCATCTATACCCTGAGACGTAGTGTACAATACACCATCACACAGAGAGTAGAACACCGACTTCTGTAGATATCACAGACAACACACCATCCATAACCCGTGACTCGTGTACAATACACCATGAAACAGAGAGCAGGACATAGCCTCCTAAATATACCACTGACAAACACACCATCCATACACCGAGACGTAGTGTACAACACACCATGAAACAGAATAGTATATTGCCTTCTGAAGATGTCGCACACAAACACGTCATCCATACCCTGAGTCGAAGGTAACAATAAATGTATGGCTTGTAAACAAGCCAGTGTCCCCGTCAGTGGGATGTTTGCGGTTTCAGAAGGAAATATTTCCTCTTAGTCAGTCGTTATACAAAGTATATGTTCAGTTTAACGAGCTGAAAATAATATGTTTCGCTTTCGAAATGAGGCATTATATGTTTATCACATCTTTTGGTAATATGAAATAGCAAATCATGTTGTGGATAACTGCCATTTTTAGCTTCATAAAATAGATATGTGTTCTATTAGTTTAATTCATGAGTGTGTCTGTGTGCACGCGCGCGCGCGTGTGTGTACGTGTGTGCGTGTATGTGTGTGTGTGTGTGTGCGTGCGTGCGTGCGTGCGTGCGTGCGTGTGTGTGTGTGTGTGTGTGGCTGCTTGTACTAGTCCAGCCTAGTGCTGGTTTGAAAGAGCTTGTCCATTGAAGCACCACGGCGCAGTTCAACATGAATACCCTACCTGGACACAGTGTACTAACTCTGAGGTGACTAGACTTTGTTTTATCACCTTAATGACCAGCGCCAGGTAGTATATGTGCTGATATGTGTGTATGTTGGCATCAGTTGTAAGTTAAAACCTATACCACGTGGGATTATATGTTTACTTTAATTATTGCATGTCCCATAAAGCCCACGTTGTATGTGTGTCTACAGTCAAATGATACTACATTATGACACATCCATTTTAATTTCCGTGTTTTCTGCGTGTAATAATTCGTATTCATTATGACACATTCATTTTAATTTCCGTGTTTTCTGTGTGAAATTATTCGTATTTATTATAGGTCTATACGCATACATTGGGATTCCGTTGAATTTAATTTCGAAACTAATGTCATTGCTTGTCAACGGGTCCAAATGCGGTTGTATATCAAGGGTAATTTTTGCCTGACGAGTACAGTACACTGTCAATCAGTCAAGCAGGGCTGTGCTTCTAAAACACTGTTACCTGGAGAGAAACTGTGCTATGTCATATACTGACACTGAACTATAAGTGCACAGTAACCTCACCAAAATGCTTGACTATACACGAATTCATTTTTTGCAAGAGCGAACATTTACAAAATAAAACTGTTGAACATTATGTTACATTACAAAAACAATGTTACATGCGAGTTATGTCCCTAAACATATTTTTAATAACCAACGATTGACTTTGAATCTACGTTTAAAACCTATGGCCCATAAAAGGTAATTTCCTCTTATTGACCAAGCAAGTTGTTTGAAACTCCATGTCGCCTGTTAAGAAGAAATAATTTCCTCCACACACCCATATAGCTAGTGTGTTTCAATGAAGGAAGTTATAACTTCCTCACTTCCAAGCTTCACGGTCACAAGACACATTCAGACGTTGTACACTGAGATCCTGGGGAGGTGGAGCTCGGCCACTAACAGCAAGTATACTGCTATACTCATTGTACAAACGTGTGTTTCTAACCAAGTGAGCATTTCGTGTTGTTTTGTTATAAATAGTTAGGATAATGGAACATGCTTAGATGTGTATCAACATTATGTGACGTATATCAACATTCTGTGATGTATATCAACATTATGTGATGTATATCAACACTATGTGATGTATATCAACACTATGTGATGTATATCAACATTATGTGATGTATATCAACACTATGTGATGTATATCATCATTCTGTGATGTGTATCAACATTCTGTGATGTATATCAACATTCTGTGATGTATATCAACACTATGTGATGTATATCAACATTGTGTGAAGTATATCAACATTCTGTGATGTATATCAACACTATGTGATGTATATCATCATTTTGTGATGTATATCAACATCCTGTGATGTATATCAACATTCTGTCATGTATATCAACATTCTGTCATGTATATCAACACGATTGATGTATATCAACATTCTGTGATGTATATCAACATTCTGTGATGTATATCAACATCCTGTGAATTATGGCAGAACTATTACACGCACGTCTCACCGAACATCTATATGTATCTTATATTTATTTATGCGTTTTGTTTCAGGTGATATGGCACCGATGGCAGTTCTGTGCGTAGCGTGCATGATGGTGTACACTCGTGGTAAAGACAAGAATATTTCCTTTATGATAGATTTCATTATTTCAGCTTTTTAGATTTCTGACATGTTATGCATTTACATCTGCAACATGCGCTGTTCTATAGATAGCATCACTCCTCCTTGTATCATGATCAGCTGTAGTTATGAAACTGAGGATGTCATATCGTCAATCACAAGGGCCAGTTTTAATTATTTAACAGAACAAATCCGCACATTGTATACTTATATTTTTGGCTTTTAACGCTTTTTTGCGGAAACGTGCTTCAGTAATATACATTTTTGCCATCATTTTCAGCTGCCAAATGCAAAGGACACCAACACTGTTCAGACTGTGGCAGCACTACAGGACATTGCATCTCTGAGTGTGAACCTGGGTATTTTGATCAGAAGTGTAGTTCTATTTGCAACGAAAATTGTCGAAACAAGAAATGTAAACTGTCAATTAATGGCAATGCTAATTGCACTGAAGGTTGTGTCCTGGGATACCAAGGCCCGGGGTGTAGCAGGCCATGTTACAACCCAGGAGGTGTTTGTACAGAATGTCCAGGTGGTTGTGATAGAGGATATTGTCAGCTGGGCTCCTGTGTGTTTGGATGTGTAGACTCTTACTTTGGGTCTGGCTGCAAGACATGTCACAGAGGATGTAAGACATGCAACAGCATAACAGGAACATGCACGGAGTGTCATCCTTCATTTCCCGGTCCAAACTGTGAACAGGAGACGAACACTACCAGAGGTTGTGAAGGTGGTTGTGTACCTGGACATATAGACAGAGACTGCAAACATTGTTCTGACAAATGTCTCAATAAGACCTGTCCCCCTAAGAACGAACCCTTTGATAAACGATGTAATCCAGGATTCTATTGTGAACACTGCAACAAGACGTGTGGTGTGTGTATTGATGGAGACTGTGATCAGATGTCAGGGATGTGCTTCAGAGGGTGTAACAGGACCAAACTTGGATGTGAACCTTCCTGTAGAGCCAACTGTACTTTAGCTGAATGTGACATTGACACATGTCCACAAGGTGAATATATTCTCTTTATATTAATTAAAATAGAGGGGAGATCCCGCATAACCAATGGATTAATCCACATGCCAAACTTAGTTGTAGGCGCAAGGCTTCTGCTGTCCATTCCCTGTTCTGTGTTGATTCATGCACGGACTGGAATCACCCATCTATGTTGTACTTGAACAGGTTAGACTTGAGCGTGTGAACCACTGATAACGTCTCTCCCCTAATTTAACACTTTCAGCAGCTGTAGTTGATGTCAACACAAAGTTAACACAGGACATATTCAAAATGAGCATTTATTGGTTCTTGTTTTGTGTGTATATGTTGAGGAAGTAACTGAGTTAAGCAGTTTTACAAGTGTGACATTAGAAACTGAGGATTTAGCGATTTGAACAAATTAATTTATACATTCATCTATTCGCAAGATGTCTGTAAAAGGGGAGGTACACCTATGCAGTGTCCTGGTACACGTTCCTGTCATCTGATGAGAAACAACATTCAGACGGACTACACAAGTATGGTTGTAGTTTGCTGTAACATCCAGGTATACAACCATGCATACAATCCCGGGTAGCCACGTGCCTTACATGTTTAGAGATACATAAGGAGGAACATCCAGGTATACAACCATGCATACAATCCCGGGTAGCCATGTGTCTTACATGTTTAGAGATATATAAGGAGGAACATCCAGGTATACAACCATGCATACAATCCCGGGTAGCCATGTGTCTTACATGTTTAGAGATACATAAGGAGGAACATCGCGGTATACAACCATGCATACAATCCCGGGTAGCCATGTGTCTTACATGTTTAGAGATACATAAGGAGGAACATCCAGGTATACGACCATGCATACAATCCCGGGTAGCCACGTGTCTTACATGTGTAGAGATACATAAGGAGGAACATCCAGGTATACAACCATGCATACAATCCCGGGTAGCCACGTGTCTTACATGTTTAGATATACATAAGGAGGAACATCCAGGTGTACGACCATGCATACAATCCCGGGTAGCCATGTGTCTTACATGTTTAGAGATACATAAGGAGGGGTATATTGGATAAAATGAATACTTTTCATGGATCCTTCATAATGTGAGGGGTTGTTAGGGACAGGTTGGTCGGAAGTGTGAATGTCCACCCTGCAACTTATGAAGATTGCGAAATGGGCGGCTGTAAACAAGCACCGCGTGAGTATGTCCGTGATCAACACTGTAAGCTTAGCCTTGATATAAATGTAGGTAAACGTCCCTAACAACCCCTCACCTATGAAGGATCCTTGAAAAAAATATTCATTTCATCCAAGATGTTCCTCCTTATGTAGCTTTAAACATGTAAGATGTGAGGTGAGGTGAAATGGGGTTTAACGTCACGTCCAAGATTATTGCACTTATAAAGCGGCGTGTATGCACGTGTGTGTCTGTGTGTGTGTGTGTCTGTGTGTGTGTCTGTGTGTGTGTGTGTCTGTGTGTGTGTCTGTGTGTGTGTGTGTGTGTGTGTGTGTGTGTGTGTGTGTGTGTGTGTGTGTGTGTGTGTGTGTGTGTGTGTGTGTGTGTGTGTGTGTCAGGCTGCTTGTACTAGACCGGATTGGTGCCAGTTTATAGTGCTAGCACACTGAGATACCATGCCGCAGTTTAACATGAATACCCCATGGCCACTCAGACACAGTATACTGACTCCGAGCCGACCAGTCCTTGTGTTAGCCCCTTAATGCCGAGCGCCAGACAGGGTAACAGCAAGTACCATCTTTTAACGTCTTTTGGTATGACGTGGCTGGGGATCGAACTCCGGACCTTCCACTCCCCGGGCGGACGCTCTACCACTAGACCACGGAGGCGGTAAACATGTAAGACACGTGGCTACCTGGGATTGTATGCATGGTTGTATACCTGGATGTTACGGTAAAACTACTACCATACTCGTGTAGTCTATCGAATGTTGTTTCTCATCAGATGACAGGAACGTGTACAAGGACATTACGTAGGCGTACATGCTCTTTATCAAGGTGAACCTGATATATTCGCTATGTATTTGCTCAAGGACATGGAACAAGAGCTGATCTAGTGTGCATTACACATGTTTTAATATTTAGTCGCTTGTCTTTTTGCCAGATGGGAATGACGATCAGAAGACAGGCAGTGTGCTGACTTGGTTGTTGGCATCACTGCTTCTCCTTGTATCAGGCATCTTGCTGACACTCTGTCTCTGTTACTGCAAGCGTTTCCCCAAACAAAGGTGGGTGTGTTGCCATCACTTCTACTCCCTGTGTCGGGCATCTTGCTGACACTCTGCCTCTGTTACTGCAAGCGTTTCCCCAAACAAAGGTGGGTGTGTTGCCATCACTGCTTCTCCTTGTGTCGGGCATCTTGCTGACACTCTGTCTCTGTTACTGCAAGCGTTTCCCCAAACAAAGGTGGGTGTGTTGCCATCACTTCTACTCCCTGTGTCGGGCATCTTGCTGACACTCTGCCTCTGTTACTGCAAGCGTTTCCCCAAACAAAGGTGGGTGTGTTGCCATCACTGCTACTCCCTGTGTCGGGCATCTTGCTGACACTCTGTCTCTGTTACTGCAAGCGTTTCCCAAAACAAAGGTGAGTTTGTCGCAGTGTTATGGTAACAGTCACTACACGACCCCTGTAGTTTGTAGTATGTTTATTGTACCTGGGGCTAAACAATTGACCCATACTTCAAACCATACTTACTATTCACACCACTATGACTTATTTTGGAGTTTTGTCATGATATGCTAGTAATTCATACACGTCAAAACTTCATTTTTCCACTTATCAAATCAACATAATTTAGTTAAAATGTTCAATGGAGGAAATTGTTATCACACCTAAGAGAAGACAGTTAACTCCCCGACGGGGTTATTATTGCGCAATATTCACTTTTGGTTAATGTTTGTTTGTTTGTTGTTTAATGCCGACGTCAGAAGTATTCCAGCTATATGACGGCGGTCTGTAAATAACCGAGTCTGGACCAGAAAATCCGGTGATTGACATCATGAGCATCGATCAATGCAATTGGGATACGATGACATGCATCAACCAAGTCAGCGAGACTGACCACCTCATCCCGTTAGTCGCCTCTTACGACAAGCATAGTCAAGCATGGGTAGCTGGAAGATCTTTTGAATTGATAATGACTATGTACATTTAAATAAGCATCATGTACGTTAGTATCAGTAGTTGCTGATATGATTACGATAAGAGCTTTGGAACCATTATGCATCATAGTATACCACAAGGTGGGGGATCACAAGGTGGGGGAAAGGTCGATCCTTTTCTGAGAGAAGCAGGATCGGTTGGTAGCTTCGATGATTCCCAAAACTTTAATCACTGATGTTCTTGAATGTGTAAAGCAACACTGGAATATCTGTCTGACGTATATGATTGTAGGTTTAGAGTACCTTTCGACGCTTTTTAACAGATCAGAAATGTAAGATCATGCTTCTGGTGAGGATTGGTTGGTTGGTTGGTTTGTTGTTTAATATTCCAGCTATAAAACGGCGGCCTGTAAAACATCTAGTCTGGAGCAGACAATCCAGTGATTAATATCATGAGCATCGATCCATGCAATTTGGATCAGTGGCATGCATCAACCAAGTCAGCGAGCCTGGCCACCCGATCCCGTTAGTCGCCTCTTATGACAAGCATAGTCGCCTTTTATGGCAAAATGGGTTGTTGAAGACCTATTCTACCCCGAATCTTTGCGGGTCTCTGGTGACGAAACGATAATAGGTAATGTACGCATGAGAAAATGTAGTATATGCACAAAGATCCTAAATATATACATATCTCTGTGTTGCAGGGAACCGGAGGAGCACCAGGATCAGATGCAGCAAGATGAGGTTGAGTATCTGCAGTATTTACCTACAGTACAGGGAGATGCACTTAATACTAACCGTCATTCGAATCATGCCTATTATGACGTTATCGATGGCGAGAAGGGTCCCGCCATTGTGTTCCTGTGACCGCTGATTATATGTAACCTCTTTTATGTTGTATGACTTATCTAAACACAACTGTTCACTGTCTATTGAGCTATCAATTCTACTTTTTTCAAGCGCCAGGTCGCGCTAGTTGTTGATGGCGTTGCTTTGTCGGTTTTATCAGTGGTGATCTTCTGTTTGTTATTACGCCTTCATTTAGATGACTCTGTCCCCAAAGTATACGGCACTCTACTACAACAGCAACGTTAAAAACACGTGAAGTATATATGGTGAGCTTCACATCAATCAGGATGCCATGAACGTTGATGCCACTACCCTATACAGTATACGTCTTTACTACCATCTGATAATACGTGTGTCTATCAGCAATGTTTATATGAAACCAAAGTCGTTGTTATCATTAAACGTGTATAGAATGCTATTTGTATTGTGTTAACAATTGTCACAGTCACGAAAGACGAGCAGCATCATGGCTGCAGCACCTTGCTGAAAGTAAACTTGTGTCGGTTCGGGTCAATGATGTGTCTGTTTATACTAATATGCCTTAAATTTGCAAATAGTGCACACTAAGTTTTACTTTTCTGAAAAGGTTGAACAAAATCAGGTGTGATATATTTGTACATTATAGTATTAAACATTCTACACTGTACACATGCTGCTGTTTGTTATTATTTCTCTATAAACTTTGATGGAAAACATGTGTGTATCCATTAAACCAACACAACTTATGTAATTGCTGTGTGGTACGTCTATTTACTTGCTTTGAAGGGTGATGTGACCAACAAAGTAACTTAAGAATAGAATACACTCCAATGTATTCTAGCCCTATACGGGTAGGAAGTTCATTCTGGAAACAAAAGTGAGAACTATTTGGCACAGTCTTCAACGATGTTCCTGATAGTGTCATACATTGCACATGGTGTACAGACATTGACACAACTGTGTCTGGATGCCGGTCTGCTCTCGTATGTGTTCATGTATAATGTGACAATGAAGGTTGATGCGAGTCTGCAACAGAATATCCAGTGGTTGACATCATGAACATCGGTCCAAGCTATTTGTAACAATGACACGCTTCTACCAAATCACCAAACATGATAATTAGATCCCGTTAGTCGCCTCCTCCGAAAAGCATGGGTTCCTTAGACCCATTCGAACACTTATGTTCACGATTGGCTTTAACAATGAGCAATTAGATTGTCTTTATTTCTTTTCTTGTTGATTAACCCAGCACTTAGCAATATACCTGTTATATGTCGATGGTCTGGAAACAATCGGGTCTGGACCAGACAATCCAGTGATTGACAACATGAACATCGATCTACGCAATTGGAACACAATGACATGCATCAACAAGTCAGCGCAACTGACCACCCGATCCCGTTTCGCCTTTTTACGGCAAGCATGTGTTGCTGAAGATCTATTCTAACCCGAATCTTCACGGGTGCAATTAAAATTGCCTCACTTGTCTTTTATTATAGAAATGTATATCCAATATTTCCATCGTCCATCAAGGCAAAAAACTCAACAATATCAAATGCGTTAACGTGCACAAGGGAGGCTCAACGAACATATTTGTAGATTTGAAACCATAACACAATAGGTTGTATTTCCTGGTGGAACAATGCCTGTTTCGTTCTACTGCGAGTTTGATTTAATCATTTGTTGAAGCAACACAACACACAGTTCATCCGGTACAGTTGCACAATAGTGTCATTAATCATCAACTCAACAACACCATACGTTTAAATGGCCTGGGTTAGAATGTATCGGACCCAAGCGTCTAGTTTCCATAACCCCTTAATATTTCACCTGGTAAAACAGTGGACACGAAAATCCTAACCCGCTCTGTCAGAAACATATATATTTAGTCACAAGAATGCTCCTCTTAATAACGAGTGATGTCACTAGAACTATTACTGCCAGAGTTGCATTGTTACTGAAGGTTGGCGTCACCGGGCACGGCGAGTGGAAAACAATAGGACAATGGAAACCCCGTATCTCAACGTGGCGAGACTTAACAGATAAACTCCGCTTGACCTTCTGCCTTGTGTACAATAGATACAGGCAGTGAAACAGCAGGTCACCTGGAGCTGTCCTGACAAGTGGAATGTTGACAACGTGTGTACAATAGATACAGGCAGTGAAACAGCAGGTCGCCTTGAGCTTCCCCGAAAGGGGGAATGTTGACAACGTGTGTACAATAGATACAGGCAGTGAAACAGCAGGTCGCCTTGAGCTGTCCCGACAAGCGGAATGTTGACAACGTGTGTACAATAGATACATGCAGTGAAACAGCAGGTCACCTGGAGCTGTCCTGACAAGTGGAATGTTGACAACGTGTGTACAATAGATACATGCAGTGACACAGCAGGTCACCTGGAGCTGTCCCGACAAGTGGAATGTTGACAACACGTGTACAATAGATACAGGCAGTGAAACAGCAGGTCACCTTGAGCTGTCCTGACAAGCGGAATGTTGACAACGTGTGTACAATAGATACAGGCAGTGAAACAGCAGGTCACCTGGAGCTGTCCTGACAAGTGGAATGTTGACAACGTGTGTACAATAGATACATGCAGTGACACAGAGGTCACCTTGAGCTGTCCTGACAAGTGGAATGTTGACAACGAAGCTGCATACGGAGATCGCCTGCAACACGTGGTACTTGCGTTATTGTCGTTGTGGTAAACGCATACAACAGCTGCAGTTTCAGACATACCCAGATAACACACGCGCATACTATACCCGGCCCCACAGAGTGAGTGAGTGAGAATGGATTTACGCCGCTTTTAGCAATATTCCAGCAATATCACGTCGGAGAACACAAGAAATAGGCTTCACACATTGTACCCATGTTGGGAATCGAACCCGGGTCTTCGGCGTGACGAGCGAATGCTTTAACCACTAGGCTTCTCCACCGCACCCCCGGCTCCATAGTAACGGTGATAAGATAAAATAGATGCCCAGTTTCTTGTCACGCCTCGAGTACATAAGAACACCTTTAAATATCCACTGACATGTTTGAAAACGTTACTGGTTGTTTTGAGTGTTGTATATTGTAAGTTGCGTGTTTGGCACACTCATTGTTGCTGAGGCAGAGGTCGATTGAATAAAAGCAGTACGGAAATAATTGCAAAACCGGTGGTAAATAACGCCCATTGTACGTACTGTAGGATATCCTTGTGATACACATAATGTTTGCGTGCTGGTTTGTATCAAGGTCGACATGAATATGACATTGTCCTTCCCTATCAGAGCGGAAAACCGAGCCACCCTGTACTTGTATGGGCACACTGACATGGTGACTTGAATCATTCATGTAACTTTGCACCACACAATATTACATGATTACATATTACGACTGAGGAATCTGTAGCTACAGCAGTCAACAGTTTCTGCTCAGGTACAGCTAGTTGCGGCGACTTATGTAAGGTCATTATTTGTTAACAATCACAATGCGACCTATGTAACATGTTTTTGTATGATGCGTTATTTGTTAATTGACACCTAAAGAAGCATTAACATTCTTAAATATACCATTCAAAACTTGTCCTTGTATCAGAACCGAGGAATCTAAACTTCATTGTGTATCTGTCATGTATTGAATATCTTAGATCACATCTATCGATTATCATGTGTTGCATCAAAGTAGAGGAAGGGATATTGCCGACATCCCTGGATAGGTTGCCACCCCAGTGTACGTCCGAAGCTAGCAAACACCTGCGTTTGCACAAATTAAACTTTGATTGGTATAATCACAGTATTGATTGTTTGGTTGGTTGTTTAACCCCGCACTCAGCATTATTCCAGCTATACAACGGCGGTCAGGTCTTGACCAGACAATCCAGTGATTGATATCATGAGCATCGATCCGCGCAATTGAGATGGCTGCCATGCATCAACCAAGTCGGCGAGCCTGACCACCCGATCCCGTTAGTCGCCCATTACAACAAGCATAATCGCCGTTTACGGCAAGCAGGGCTTGCTGAAGACCTATTCTACCATGGATCTTCACGGGTCACGAATGGTATGTGCACTTTAATTGTATAGTCTCGGACAACGAGTTTCTATCGCACGATAAGGCTGTATGGAAGCCTCTCTGTACACGATCTACAATATACGCCCACCGTACACGTCCAGGAAAATCCAAGGTGCGATCGCAAACTCTTCACAATTTTGATTCATGAAACATCATAACCTATTCACTGAACTACAGTCACAGCATCCCTGGTGATTCCGGGTAGGAATATAGCAACCTTTTTTGCAAAAGGCGATTAATGGAATCGGATAGTTAGGTTCGCTGACTTTGTTGATCTTAATATTCCGTAGATGATCATGATTTCAGTCTCTGAGATGTCTGGTCCAGAGTCGATTATTTACAGGCCGCCGTCATACACCTGGACAATTGTTTAGTGTGGCGGTAAATAACACACAAAGAGAACTGTCACAGCCGACCTTTCACATCTCGACATTCGCTCTCAGCTATCAACGAACAGCTAAATGCACTTGTTATGTGGGGCATGTGAAGTGACATTAACGCAACTCTGGTGCAGGGAAATGTGACATGACTCTGTATATCTGTCAGGCTCGAATTACTGTGTGAAA